GCTAGCTGCCATGTGGGTGCTGGGATTCGAACCCGGGTCTTCTGCAAGAACAACCAGTGTTCTTAACTGCTGAGCCATTTCTCCAGCCCTGTATATATATTTTTATGTAACCTGCTTCAAGTTATTTCTGGAAAAATATGTTAAAAATTGCCTCTCTTTGTAATAAAAAAAGTTTTTTTTTTAAAGAAAGGTGAAAGCTTTATTGCAGTTCCTTTACCTCTGATTAGGAAAAGAAGGTCTTCCTGATTTCTGTCTGCATGCCATTGACCAGTCTCTGTCTTTTTGTCTCTCTTTATCTCTTACACACACACACACACACACACACACACACACACACACACACACACACAGCTTCAAGCTAAGAAGTAGGGGTTTTTTTGTTTGTTTTTGTTTTTGTTTTCCATCTTTTTGAGACAGTTTGCTGGCCTGGAACTAACTATGTAGACTAGGCTAGCCTCTGTCCCAAGTGCTGGGATTAAAGATGTACACCACCATGTCTGACTGCTTTCCTTTCTTGATAGTAGAAGGATTGAGGAAGAATGGGGTGGGGTGTTACTGAGTGAATCAGATTATAATATTTGAGAAGTGCCCTAGAGGGAAAAAAGATCACTTGGAGTTTGTACTGTTTACCTAAGTGGTTCTTCAGTTCCACAGCAATGCTCAGCTGAGCATCCTGTCAGTTCTCACATCTGTCTGTGCAGGCTGAACATCCTGTAATCCTGTGCTTGCAAGATTTCATTTGTTAGGAAGAGATGTAAGAATTAGAATGTTACATCAAGTCAGACGTTAGGATAATCGGTTCTTTTCTTTGGCAGCCTAAAGACGTGAGTGAGGAAGATGTGAAAAGGGGGCTGTTGTCATGGCTGCAGCAGGCTGCAACCGCCGTGCTTCCTTTGATAATATCAGAGAAAGAATCCATTAAGCTGAGAATTAAGGATGGTGAGTAAAAGTCTGTTGTTGTGTTTTTCCTGCTGAGATAGTAATTACATTTTTTATTGCTTTTTCCAACCTGTGTCACATGTAAACAGTGAAAAATACTGCACCGTGTTCTGTATATTGAAGGATGCCTGTATTCTGTAAAGTTTGATATTTCGTATCCAATTATTAAACCCTAGTTTCATCACTAACTCCATTTATCACTTCCTTCTTAATAGGGTTGAAAGAGTTTTCTCTGAGTGTAGTTCATTCTTGGGAAAAAGAAAAGGAAAAAGGAAAAGCCATTTTTCTCTTGAGTACCCATCTGCTGCAGAAGATCTCAATTCAAGTAATTATGTACTATTGAATATTTAGTAAAGTAATATTTGTTGTATGTGATTGGCAATTAAGTATGGGTTTCTTTATGAGAGCTTACATCCAGAAGTATATTAGAAATCCACATGATAAGAGTAAGGAATAACTTGATTTCAAATATTTTACTCTGTAATTTATCTATATAAGTTACTAATTTATCTTAAATTTAAAATTCAGTTAAGTTAAGTTTCAAGAATAATGTTAACTGGCAAATGGGTCATGATTAAAAGTTCTACTATTTTAAACAACTGAAAATTTAGTTTTAGAGGATTGATTTTAGAAGTTGGTATTTTGGGGTTTGCTAGGTGGCTCAGCAGGTAAAAAAAAATGCTTGCTGCACAAACCTGGGGACCTGAGTTCAACTCCAGGAACCCATGTGAAAAGGTTGAAGGAGAAAACTGTCTCCACAAATGTCCTCTGAACTGTACATGTGTTCTGTGACATGCTCCACCCAAACTTATACACGAACACACACACATACGTGCACACACATGCACACACAAACTAATAATAATTTATAATTTATATTTTCATATGACTTTTTTTATACTATTTTAGCAATTCTTAAATTCTCAACTCTTCACAAATGTTATCACATCACTTTTCTTCCAGAAGTATTTTGGGGCTTGTCTTTTTAGAATACTGGGTTTTAGGGGCTGGAGAGATGGCTCAGTGGTTAAGAACACTAACTGCTCTTGCAGAGGACTTGGCTTCAATTCCCAGCACCCACATGGCAGCTACAAACCAACCTTAACTCCAGGGGAATCCGAAGCCCTCTTCTGGCCTCCGTGGCATTGCACAACATGGGTGCACTCACATACATGCAGGCAATACACTCATACACATAAAATAAAAATAAAATATTTAAAAAAAAGAATACTGGGTTTTAGTTATACCCTCCACTGTTACAGAATTGAAAATAGACCAGTCAGCTGGGTGTGGTGGTACACACCTTTAACCTGGGAGGCCGAGGTAGGAGGATCTCTGTGAGTTCAAGTCCAGCCTGGTTTACCTAGTGAGTTCCAGGCCAGCGGGGGTACAGGGAGACCTTGTCTCAAAGAGATCGAGAAAAAAAAAGAAGATACACCGGTCGTTTAGAATTTAGTGGTTTGGAACTAGATTTTGTTTCTTTACCTGTGAGATATAAATGAAGGAGTACCATTCAGAGAAGGTGCAGATGTAAGCACTGTGAACCAAATCAAAAAGCGTGTACATCTGTGGGAAGTACCAAGGAGGCAACACTCCTTTCTGTGTCCTGACCACAAATGTTTGTGTTCTCTCCATGGGCACATTGTTGTCAGGGTGTGTTAGGGAATGTTCTTGGATGCACAGTATCTATTTTCTCTGGAGTAACTGAATCAGCAATTCATTTTTCTGGGATCCAAGAAACAGGCCAAAGACATAACTTTGAAATGTAAATCTAATTTCTCCTTGCTGCTGTAGGTCCTTCTAGACCCTATGGTAAAAGAAGAAAACAGTGAGGAAATTGACTTTATTCTTCCTTTTTTAAAGCTGAACTCTTTGGGGTAAGAAGCTATGGTGAAACTAGTATGTTTTGACATTTTCTCTGGCAGGGCTTCTGTGTGTAAATATTAAGGTAGATGTGAATGCCAATGAAGTCTTTCTAAGATGCATTGGTAGATTTTTTTCAAGGATTATTTGTATCTCCACACATGGATTAGAAATTTGCATTGTCTTGTTAGATAACTAATGTTACCAGAAATTTTACTTTGAGAATTGATATGAGAAGAAAGTTAACCAAATATCTTCTGATCATATGTACTTGACTGAAGCAACAGTTATTAGAGCAAATAAATGCATTTTAAAAGCTAAATCTAAAAGCATTGGTTGACTGTTGAAAAATATTTCAAATTAAGTTATTCCTTCACTATCTTATTTTTATAATTGGGATAATTTTGTGTCTCCTCAATTTTTCAGACAAACAAATCTAAAAAAGAACCTCTCTTAATTTCTTTATTTGTTATACAATATGATTAACATTCATATAAATGTTAACTCTAAGAATTCTTCACAGTGGCTTTTTACTAGATGTTATAATGATTTAAGCACTTTTATATTATTGTATAATCTATAGCTGTTTTAGTAAAAGAATTAAACATTAAAGTGAAAATGTTTAAGTGCAACACAATATGTATTAATATAGAATAAAATCTCTTTAGATTCCCCTTTGAGGAATTTATTATTCCATTTCCATAATTATGAATATAGTTATTATAAAAATTAAAAAGTAGCTTAAGTTGAATATTTATTTATTGTCTTTTTTTTGAGACAGGATCTCCCTATAACTCCAGATAGCCTGGAACTCACTATGTAGACCAGGATGGTCTTGAAGTCACAGAGACCTGCCTGCCTCTGCCTCCTGAGTTCTGGGATTAAAGGCATGTGACACCATGCCTGGCATGAATATTTATTTATTTATTTATTTATTTATTTATTTATTTATTTATTATTTTTGGTCTTTTTGAGACAGGGTCAGGGTCTCCCTGTAGCCTCAGCTGTCCTGGAACTCATGATGTAGACCAAGCTGGCCTTGAACTCACAAGAGGTTCACCTGCCTCTGCCTCTTGAGTGCTAGGATTAAAGGCATGTGCCACCACACCCAGCCTGAATATTTATTTTTTAAAATATTTAGGCAGGCTGATCTCTGTGAGTTCAAGGCCAGCCTGGTCTACATTGTGAGTTCCAGGACAGCTGGGGCTACAGGGAGACCCTGTTTCAAAAAGACCAAAAAAAAATTTTTTTTATTTATTGTTTTTATATTATGTGTATGAATGTATTGCCTATGTGTGTGTGTAAGTGCACCTATGTTGTGCAATGCCTGAGGAGGTCAGAAGAGGGCATTAGATACCCTGGAACTGGAGTTACAGATGGTTGTTAGCCACCATGTAGGTGCTAGGAATTGAGCTTGGGTCCTCTGTAAGAGCAGTCAGTGCTTTCAACCACTGAGCCATCTCTCTGGCCCCAAGTTGAATATTTGTACAATAGAGATTGTATAAGTCCAGTTTCAACTGGATTTCAAAGGTCACATTCAAGAGGAAATAAGTTTCCATTTTCTAATAAGCACACTTCTTTTTTTTTTTTTAATCTCCCTGTAGTCACAGCTGACCTGGAACTTTCTATGGAGACCAGGCTGGCCTCTATCTCACAGAGATCCACCTGCCTCTGCCTCTCAAGTGCTGAGATTAAAGGTGTGCTGTGCACCACCAATGCCTAGCCTAATAAGCACTTCTGAAGCACCCATTTTAGATTATATTGATTACTAAACTATAACTTATTTGAGAATGGGAGAATGTTTTTGTGTATTAATAGATCCAGTAAGTAACCCTATTAAGGCAAAACTCCAGTTGCTGCAGATATCTGAGATGATAAAAGTAATTTTAAAGCCTGAAAATCAAGTAAAGGAGATTTTCTAAAATTTTACTCTCTTAAAGTCATTAACTAGCCCAGGAAGGAAGGTTGTAGCCTTTTTACAGCTAAATTTTATCCTGCTTCTGCCTTTGTCACATAACCATTTATATATTTTTTTCAGAGGAGTGAATTCCTTAGGCATATCCTCCATGGAGCACATCACTCACAGCCTCCTGGGACGCCCTTTGTCTCGGCAGCTGATGTCCCTTGTTGCAGGACTTAGGAATGGTGGCATTTTGCTCACTGGAGGAAAGGTATATGATTAAAATGTGTTCCTTTTCACTAGCTTTGCATTCTTCTGTGTTTGGTTTTTGCTCACCTGTTATAAAGAACTTTTAATGCAAGATGGAGAAAGCAATCGTTCATTCATTAATATTTTTGTGTGTCTAGTAGGTATTGGGGAAGTAATTACAAATTCATGGATTCATGAATTTATGTTCTCTCTTCCCTTTTTCTGTGTCAATTGATATGGTTATATGCTTTTTAGATTTTGGGTTATTGGTGAGGTGTTGATAGTATTGGTATATATATATTTATTTATTTTATGTATATGAATGATTTGCTGACATGTATGTAAGTGCACCACATGCATGCAATGCCCATGGAGGCCAGAGAGGGTGTTGGATATCCTGGAACTGGACTTAGAGACAGTTGTTAGCCATCACGTGGGTGCTGGGAATTGATCCTGGGTTCTCTGCAAGAGCAGCCAGTGCTCTTAACCAGTGAGCTATCTCACCAGCTCCCATACTGGTATATTTTTAAATAAATCCCATTTGGTTGTGGTAAGTCATTCTTCATGCCTTGTTGAGTTGTATTTTCTAGTGTTCTATTTAGATTTTTTTGTATCTAAGTTTATGAGAGATATTAGCCTGTTGCTTCTATTGTCTTTGCTGTGTATTACTGGCCTCATAAAATGAAGAGGCAATGGTCCCTTCTCTTTAATTGTTTGATAAAATCTCCAGCAAACCCATCTAAGCCTGGAGAATCCTTAAACCATTAGCTTTTTATTTTTGTTTTACTTTTTGAGACAGAGTCTCACTGTGTAGCCCTGACTGGCCTAGAACTTACTTTGTAGACCAAACTGGCCTTGATCTTGAATTCCCAGAGATCCACCTGCCTCTGCCTCTGCCTTTTGAGTGCTGGGATTAAAGGCTTGTGCCACCATGCCTGGCCTCCATTAGCTGTTTAATTGTAAATACCATCTCCATTAATGGTTATCAGGCTATTCACATAGTTTGCTTCATCTTAGTTGACAAGAAGTTGATGATTTTTAAAGATTTGGTCTAATTCTTCTAGTGTCAAATTTATGAGCATAAAACCATTTGCTCTTAGTAGCCTTAATTCCAGATTCCTGCAACATCTACTGTGTTGCTATATTTTCTGATATTGGTGACTTGTGTCTTCTTTCCTTTTAATTCTTTTATTGTCTTGCTTGAGATCCCCGACCTTTTAAAGGGGTTTACTGTCTTATTCTCAACCACCGAGCCATCTCTCTTCAGCACACAACACACTGTGATCTTTGCACACTGGAAATAATACAGCATTGTTAAATGGTGATTACTGCTGTTGCAGAGGACCAGAGTTGAGTTCCCAGCCACATTGAGTCACTCACAACCACCTGTAACTCCAGCTCCAGGTAACCCAATGCCCTCTTCTAGCCTGTGTGAAAGATTTCTTCATTTCCCTTCACTACTTTCCCCATTTAATTTAATTTATTAGATCTTTTTTAATATTTTATTTTTATTATTATTTTTATTTTATGTGTATGAGTGTATTGCCAGCATGTATGTGAGTGCACCCATGTCGTGCAATGCCGTGGAAGTCAGAAGAGGACTTCGAATTCGCCTGGAACAGGAGTTAAGGACAGTTCTTAGCTTCCATGTGGGTGCTGGGAATCAAACCCAGGTCCTCTGCAAGAGCAGTCAGTGCTCTTAACTGCTGAACCATCTCTCCAGCCCCAGTATTTGATCTTTTGGAGACCGGGTCTCCTTGTACTCCTAGCTGACCCAGAACTCACTATGTAGACCAGGCTGGCCTCATCTCACAAAGATCCCCCTGTCTCCATATTCCCTGCCTACCCTCAGTGCTGAAATTAAAGGCATGTGCCACCATGCCCAGCTGTTTATTCCATTTTAATAACTTTTTCATGTTACTACTAGTTCAGTCATTTTCTCCTAATTCTTATTTCAGATATAGCAACTATTCTATGTGGTTTTTGAATTACCCATAAGCAGCATTGTGGTAGAATTTTTTTTAAGCCTTATCCTACTCTGTGATACCAGATTCCTGAAGTCTCTCCTAGGAGCCGCATAGTTAGTAGGAACATGTGAGGTCCTGGATCTGAGTCTTTCCTCTGTCATGTACCTATGGACTGTTTAAGTTTTGTGTCTCATCTGTATTCATAGAATTAGCCTCATTCAAGGGAGAGAAAACAGACATAGAAAGTATCACAAGTGTGTGTTGCTCTGAGTCGGGAGAAAAGACTGACTAGACAGTAGATGATGACACGCGGGCTCCATTGTCCAGCACCTGTAATTTCTTCAGTCTTGGGAGTCCACATTGGGACTTCAATGTGGTAATTATGCAATTCTATAAACTGGTGACAGTACCTATTTATAGGGGACCTCCAAAGTTTTAAGACTTCATGATCAAGTTTGGATGTTTTTTCTAGTTTGTAGTAATCAGAAAAAAATTGGAATCAATGCAAGGTTGTTGGACTTGAGAGAAATGACAGTGGTAAGCAATAATACACTGAGAGAAGGAACTTATAATCAAAGAACTATAAAAACCTACCAGATTGGGCCAGGCTACAGTGCACCATACAAATGTCTAGCAAAAGTTTGAATGTGTGTAACTTTTGGTGTCATAATTCCACTTCAAGAAATTTATTCTAAGAGAATGATCTGAAAAATCACTAAACATATTTGTATGGATGTTTATTTTGATTTTATAATGGGAAAATTATACTAGAAGTAACTTGTTAAACAGCTTACAGTTGAGTACACCCCTTATTATAGATAGCACACTTTAAGATACACACAATAGGGATACACCACAGAGGCAGTGCAGCTCCATACTTGTTGACATGGAACGATGACAGTGATTTGTTAAGTAAAAACATTAGATTATAAAACTTCATGAATATTTTAGTCCCATTTTTATAAATTTACATAAAATACGAAATGCTTAGTATGATGAACATCAAAACAATTGATGTAGGGTAAAATGATCACAGAAGTTTTTTTCACCTTCTTTGCTAAGTATTTATAATTTTTTTATGTGTATGACTGTTTTGCCTATATGTAAGTAAGTGTACCACATGTGTGCAATGACTGCAGAGACCAGAAGGGAGCTTTGGATCCCCCAGAACCTGAGTTATGGGTGGTTGTTAGCTGCCATGTGGGTGCTGGGAACTGATCTCAGGTCCTCTGCAACAGCAGCCAATGCTTTTAACCACTGAGCTATCTCTCAAGCCTTATAATTATTTTTAATTTTTGTTATGTTATTTTATAATGAGGAAAAGCTAAAGCTTCTATTTGAAAAAAGTAGTGCACGGAATTAAAGTAGACAATTTTCTGGGCATGGTGGCACATGCCTTTAATCCCAGCACTTGGGAGGCAGAGGCAGGTGGATCTCTTGTGAGTTCCAGGCCAGCTGGGGCTATAGGAAAACCCTTTCTCAAGCAGACCAAAAAAAAAAAAAAAAAAAGTAGACAATTCTGTTTCCTTGACTAGCCTCTAAAGAGCTATGGTGCATGCCTCTAATCCCCAGTACTCTTAAAGGTTAAGGCAGGGGATCCCAGGTTCCACGCCAGACTACGAAACATGACAAGGCCTCATCTCATAAAACGTGTTATATGATCATGTCCATCATAGGAAAAAAAAATGTCTGAGAATTGTACTCTACATAATTGGTGGTCACAGTAATGATCATCAATCATTAAGGAATTAGTAATCTATTTTTCTCATTAAAATCATTAAATCTAAATGAGGATGTTTTATTTTAGAAAAATTACTGTGTATATTATTTACTTCTTGTAACAATGTTTTTTTTTTAAGGCTTTGATTTAAAATTAGAGGTTGTTTTAACTAGCAGGTAAAATTAGTTTATTTTCTGTGTATGCACTATAATGGATATAGGGTACCTAAAACATTGACGACTTAAAAGAGCCACATTTCAGTAGCACCAGAATCCTGCTCTGCACCTAGATTAGTATCTCTTTATTGATTGATGAGGCTGCCACAATGATAAAAGCTATTTCTTTGGAAAAAAAATTGTTTTGTTTTTCTGCAGCATTGCACGACACTGGTACGCTCACTTACATGCAGACAATACACTCATACACATAAAAATAAAAAATAAAGCGGGCATGGTGGCTCACGCCTTTAATTCCAGCACTCGGGAGGCAGAGGCAGGCAGATCTCTGTGAGTTCGAGGCCAGCCTAGTCTCCACAGCGAATCCAGGCCAGCTGTGGCTACAGAGAGATCCTGTCTCAAAAAGACCAAAAAGAAAAAAAATATATATATATATTTAATTTGTTTTGTTTTTATTTCATGTATGTGTGAGTGCTTGCATGTATATATGTATACTACATGGGTGCCTGGTGCCCATGAAGGCCAGAAGAGGGCTTTGAATTCCCTGGAACTAGCATTAGGTAGTTATGAGCCACCATGTAGGTCCTGGGAGCTGAACCCTGGTCTTCTGCAAGAGCAGCAAAGGTTCTTAATCATTGAGCTGTCTCTCCAGCCTTAAGAAACTATTTCTGTAGTTAAATAAATTGAGAATTCTGATAAAGCAATTATTTTCCAGGGAAGTGGAAAATCAACATTAGCCAAAGCAATCTGTAAAGAAGCGCGTGACATACTGGATGCCCATGTGGAAATAGTAGACTGTAAAGCTTTACGAGGTATGAGTAAAAAATATTACATATAAAATGAGAATTTTTAAAATGGTTTTTAAAAAACTCATTACTTCATTTGCTATAAGGAAGTATTTTGTTTTTTGTGTTTTGTTTTATTGGGTTTTTGGTTTTTTGAGACAAGGTCTCCCGGTAGCTCCAGCTGATCTAGAACTCGCTATGTAGACCAGGTTGGCCTCAATCTCACAGAGATCTGCCTGTCTCTGCCTCCCTAGTGCTGGGATTAAAGGTATGTGCTACCATGCCCACTTATAATGAGGTTTTAATCTTGCTTGAAGCTTCATGAAAAAATTTTAATTTAGAGCTAAGTAACAGGAAGCCTTTGCCTTAGCTTATAAACGTGTAAGCTTTCTTTCCTTTGGAAATTAAAATTTTGCAACTCGTCTTGAACAAATCTGAAGCCATATTTGTCATTGAATTATATAGCTCTAGGAGCTCCAGGCAGTTGCATTAGTGGTTGATTTAAACCTTAACCCCTTACTCCCTACATCCTGTTTTTAATTTATAGTTTTACTGTAAGCCATCTGAAATGCTCTTTGAAGTGAGATTTGGATGAATGCATACAGATAAAATCGCAGTAGCACATTCCCTTCCTTAGTGATAAAATTTGGAACTTTGAGTCCTTTGAGATATGAATTGAACTATGTCAAAGATTAACACTTTTTTGTGATTGGTATATTAATAGAACATGGATTTAATGTTTATAGTTAAATTGATATTGAGCTCTGCTGCTTCCAAAGAGTAGTCTGAAATGTCGAGCCTTGAAATAACATAGAAACCATATCTTCTGTATTAAGGAAAAAGGCTTGAAAGCGTACAAAAAAGCCTGGAGGCGGCATTTGCAGAGGCTGCCTGGAGGCAGCCATCAGTTATCCTGCTGGACGACCTGGACCTTATCGCTGGACTGCCCGCTGCCCCAGAACAGGAACACAGCCCTGAAACAGTACAGAGCCAGCGGCTCGCACATGGTAATACACCCTCTACTGATTTAGGGCCTTTTTCAATTCTCAGTCAGCATTTTTAGTTTTAATGGTAAATCTATTTTTAATTAAAAAAATATTTATTATGTTTTATGTGTGTGTGTGTATTGCCTGCATGTAGGTAAGTGCACCAGTGTTGTGCAGTTCCCGCGGAGAACAGAAGAAGCTGTCAGATCTCCTGGAACTGGAGTTACAGACAGTTGTTAGCTGCCATATAGGTGCTGGGATTCAAACCCGCATCTTCTGCAAGAACAGCCAGTGTTCTTAACCTCTGAACCATCTCTCCAGCCCCTATTTTTAATTTTTTAAAATTATATTTTTATTTATTTTGTGGGCAGGGCAGGGGTAGGGGGCATTTACATGCCAGAGTGGACATGAGGAGATCAAAGGACAACTTTTGGGAGTCTGTTCTTTTCTCCTTCCATGTGCATCCTGTGGATCAAACTCAGGTCATCAGGCTTGGCAGCAAACACCTTTACCTTTACCCACTGACCATCTTGTTGGCCCTGAATTTGTTATTTTGAGACAATAGTGTACATGTTGTGTTGTGGTTTTTTTTTTGTTTTTGTTTTTGTTTTTTTTTTTTTTGAGGTGCCTGGTAGTATTCTCCAGTTCTGTTTTAGAAAAATGGCAGAGGAAGGGCAGTGAAAATACTTGGTATTTTGGGGCCTTTGTGTTCTTTACTTGCTAGAAATTGTTTAATTTACATATTTATTCTTAGTTAACAAATTATTTGTTGAATACTTAACTTGTATACAGTCTTCTCTAAGTTGGGGAAAGGAAAGAACAACTTCAGTGCATGTTAGTAAAATTGGTAGTCACTGTATGTGACCTGTTTCAGGGAGAAGGGTTGAGAGGGGTTGCTTTGTAGTGCACATGCAGGTTTCCTCTGGTTTTACAAGTCAGTAAATGGGAAGTGAGCGATAAGTAGTGACCCAAGGCTGCCAACTACAAAGTGGTAAGATACACTGTACTAGAAGTATGTGTATGGTACAATGCAGGCATCTAACCCAAAGCAGGAATGAAGTGAACTAGGTAAGACATTTCAGGGAAGGCTTTTGGAGATGCTGGTCACTGAACCAAGTTTTAATGGAGACTTAAAGAGTGATGTAAAGCAATTTCCTGTTAATGTAGAAGCAAAGTAAGTATGATCCACAAAGAAAGGCACAGAGGCACAAGAAATCATAGAATGTTAAGGAATATGCCATGTGTGGCTTGGAGTGTGAGGATGGGAGGCTGGAGGAACTGGCAGCATGGACTGCTGTGGTTTTAGAGAGCCAAAGTCAACACAGGGAATAGCAAGAGTAGCTTAGGTATTATGACTGGTATTGTTCTCAACTTTTAAATTCTATGCCACCTGTGGAAACTAGTGTCATCCAGATTCAGACTTACTCCGAAACACTGAATCTACTGATCTTGTATTTAAGGAAACATTGCAAATTTCTGGATCAGGACTCAGATATACTTTACTAATAGTTGTTTCAGTTCTGTCACATGCCAAAGCTTACATGATCTTGAATAGAAAGGGATTATTTAGGAAGTGTTAGAAATATGACCATATGGGGGTGGAGAGATGGCTCAGTGGTTAAGAGCATTGGCTGCTCTTGCAGAGGACCCATGTTCCATTCCCAGCACCCACATGGTGCCTAACAACCATCTGTAATTCCAGTACCAGGCAATCTGACGCCCTCTTCTGACCTCCGTCAGGTTTGCACAACCTGGGTACACTTACACACATGGCAGGCTGTACACTCATACACATAAAACAAAAAATAATAAATAAAATTAAAAAAAGAAATATGACCATGTTATGCTAAATAAAATCACCCCAGAGATGCCTTTTTATGCCTTTTTACAGAACCTCAGTATTTGTTCTGAGTGTATAGTCTGAGTTTACAGTGCCTCCAGTACTCCATTGGATTAATCAGAGCCTGGCCCATATTAAGTCCTCACTAGATACATCACTTAATGTATAGAAGAATTAATTTTTTAAAAATATGAAAGCACTGATCCATCTTAAAGTTCAATATTAAGTTAGTATTTTTCATGAATGTACAATTTTTGAATTTTCACTGATTTTTTTTTTCCTCTGAGCTTTTATGCTATATTGCCTCCTAGCTTTGAATGATATGATCAAAGAGTTTATTTCCTTGGGAAGCTTGGTTGCGCTGATTGCCACAAGCCAGTTTCAGCGTTCTCTACATCCTGCACTTGTATCTGCTCAAGGAATTCACATATTTCAGTGTGTCCAACACATTCAACCTCCTAATCAGGTAATGTACTTATTATTTTTTAAATTTTATTATTATTTTTATTTTTTATGTGTACGCATGTATTGCCTGCATGTAGATAAGTGTACCCATGTCTTGCAATGCTGGTGGAGTTCAGAAGAGGCTGTTGGATCCCCTGGGACTGGAGTTACAGACAGTTGTTAGCTGCCATGTGGCTGCTGGGATTTGAACCCAGGTCTTCTGCAAGAACAACCAGTGTTCTTAACCACTGAGCTATCTCTCCAGCCTGGTAATGTACTTATTATAAAGATTATTCGGCTCTAGTCTTTTCATAGAAATTATTTTTATTTTATTAATAAGTTATAGCTTTAAACTTACTGCCTCTAAGGGATCACAAAGATATTTAAAAGCAACATTTGGTGCATAGTGTGCAAGGAGCACAGATTGTAATTTATAACCATCTGAAATATTACATACCTTCTGAAAAAGCAGCATTTATAAAAACATTTCTTCTGAATGAGGAAGAACTGTGAAAAATGTGGGTAGGCATTTGATTAAACATTTTTCTCCTTTTGGGATCTTAGGCACATGAAGTATTTAGTGGCAATGAACAAAAGAAGTATATCTAGACTGGCAAGCCTACTTGAGGTTCTTGGTTAAAATTCTCACCTAGCTGAGCATGGTGGCGCATGCCTTTAATCTCAGCACTGGGGAGGCAGAGGCAAGGTGGATCTGTGTGAGATTGAGGCCAGCCTGGTTTACATAGAGAGCTCCAGGCTAACTGAACTATCCTGTCTCAAAAATAAATAAATGAATGAATGAATAAATACATAAATAAATAAATATTGAAATAAATAAAATTCTCACCTAGGTTCATGTCTGGTGGCACATGCCTTTAATCCCACGACTCAGGAAGCAGAAGCAGGAGGATCTCTGTGAGTTCTAGGCTATATAGGTCTATATAGAAAGTTCCAGGCAACCAGGGCTACATAGTGAGACCCCATCTCAGAAAGACAAAGGAGGGGCTAGAGAGATGGCTCAGAGGTTAAGAACACTGGCTGTTCTTGCAGAAGACCTGGGTTCAAATCCCAGCACCCACATGGCAGCTAACAACTGTCTGTAACTCCAGTTCCAGGGACTCTGACAGCCTCTTCTGTCCTCTGCGGGCATTGCACAGCATGGGTGCACTTACCTACACGCAGGCAATACATGCATACACATAAAATAATAAATAAAATATTTTTTAAAAAAAGAAAAAGAAAAAGGAGTAGTAAAAGTCTCACTTAGTATCTGCCCTAGATATTCAGACCCTATGCTGTTTAACTATTGTTGAAGACCCGAAGTATTTTACCTGTCAGTCCATGTAACAGAAGGCTGAGGATGTAGCTCAGTGGTAGAGTGTTTGCCTAGCTTTGATACTCAGCACCAAAAAACCAGTAAAATAACAAAATGATAGTGATACTGATCATTGGATATGTTTTTAGAAATGGTATAAGAACAACAACAAAAACTCTTAAGGAACCAGATATTACTTAAAATGTTCTTTCTTGCCGGGCATGGTGGTGCACACCTGTAGTCCCAGCACTTGGGAGGCAGAGGCAGGTGGATCTCTGTGAGTTCAAGGCCAGCCTGGTCTACATAGTGAGTTCCAGGACAGCTGGAGCTACAGAGAGACCCTGTTTCAAAAAAACAAAACAAAACAAAACAAAAAAAAGTTCTTTCTCAGAGAAAGATGGCAATCATTTATCAGTGTGGCTCTTACGCAGTTTTCCTGAGGTATGGTTGAAGTATGACAGATTCAAATAATTGAAGTGTATAATTTGATCAGTTTTATCACATGTACGTACCACAAAACCATTGCCACTGTTGAGGTAAGAAACATTTCCACGATTCCTGGTATCCTAGGCCCCTTGGCAATCCATCCCTCCTCCACTTCATCCCAAGTAGCCACTAGCCTACTTTCTGTCATTATGTCAGCCTAATGCATGTATTCATGTATCACATAATGACATTTGGTCACTGATGGACCACATACATGAAGGTGGTCCAACAGGACTATTGCCTAGTGACTTTGTAGCTGTACTCACAGTGTCCTGTTCCAACCCATCATGTGTATGCAGTGATGGTGGTCTAAGTAGATCCTGTACTGACAGTCATAACAATTTTGTACAATATTTAATACTTCAAAATGATAACTATTTCACTGGTTTTGTATTTGCTATTTTTATCATATTTTAGAGTATACATCTTCTATGCATTAACAATACTTACTGGAAAACTGTGTGCCTCATATATCTCATATTTACCACGTCTCTTGATTGTGTTTTCTCCTGTTCTTGTTTTCACATCAATACTGTTTTGTTCACTATGGCCTGTTGCTTGCAAAATTCACTACAAATGTTGCCAGGAAGTTGCCATAAGAAGTCATTGATCTGGAATGAAACTAAAAAGAGGTTAGGGGCTAAGAAGGAACAAAATCAATGGTGATTATTGCTTGCTAGTCGGTGATGTCCAGTTCCACCATAGCTACAGTCTTTTTTTTTTTTTTTTTTCGGCTTTTTGAGACAGGCTCTCCCTGTAGCCCCAGCTGTTCTGACCAGGCCGGCCTTGAACTCATGGAGATCAGCCTGCCTCTGCCTCACAAGTGCTGGGATTAAAAACATGCGCCACCACACCCGGCCCATAGCTACAGTCTTAAAGAATTAAGAACAAAACACCAAGACCATAAAGGACTGACTTGATAGAAAGGCCACAAGACCAAGAACTTGAGAATAGCCTTTATCAGGAAGGGGGAAACCTATAGTGACCTGGATTGAAGACCAGATGCAGAAATATATCCCGCTGATAGGATCATGGCCAAAGCAAAAAGAATGTTTATGATTTTGAAGGAAAAAGTTAGACCCAACTGTGCCATTGACTCTGGTTTAAACAATTCAAAGTTATTCATCACATACTGTAAATGTGGGGGTGAAGTACTGATGTGAAGGCCGCTGAATCACTGTAGCAATGGGATATGCTGATAGTGGACAAATATTTCTTTCCAGAGTAGATCTGGCAGAGGAGTGGACTGGACCGTGTACTCTGAGTATTTGCTAGTCTGTACTGTCTAAGTTTGTGTAAGAACACTCTACAGTATTCATACAGTCTGGGAGGCATTTCTCAGAATATAATCCCATTGTTAAGTGACAGGCAACTAATGAAAATTACAGTTAAAAAGATAGTAATTTGAATTTTGTGGGTTTTTTCTTAAGGAGCAAAGATGTGAAATTCTGCACAACATAGTGAAAAATAAACTGGACTGTGATTTGAACAAGTTCGCTGATCTTGACCTGCAGTGCATAGCCAAAGAAACAGAAGGGTTTGTGGCTAGAGATTTTACCATACTTGTGGATCGAGCCATACACTCTTATATCTCTCGTCAGTGTATCTCCACCAGGGAAGGTATGCTGTGCTACTAAACCTGAGCCTCGTTCTGTTGTGAAGAAATGTAATTAGCAAGGCAAGAGTTATATATATTCCATCATAGCTACTATTTGAGTAGAAAACTGGCATTTCCAGCTAATATTACGGCATATTTTTAAAAATCATATATTGCACAGGGTGTGGTGGTGTGAACCTTGTATCCTAGCACTCAGGAGGCAGAGACAGGTGGATCTCTATGAAATCTAGGCCAGCCTGATGAGTTTCAGGCCATCTGGGCTACGTGCAGATCTTGTCTCAAAAAAAGAGAAAGAAAGAAAGAAAGAAAGAAAGAAAGAAAGAAAGAAAGAAAGAAAGAAAGAAAGAAAGAAAGAAAGAAAGAAAGAAAGAAAGAAAGAAAGAAAGAAAGAAAGAAAGAAAGAAAGAAAGAAAGAAAGAAAGAAAATATATATTGAAATATGACTGCCAAAAGAAGCTTTTGTTTATTTTTAAACAGAATTGATTTTAACAACATTGGACTTCCAAAAGGCTCTTGATGGATTTATTCCTGCATCTCTGCGAAATGTCAACCTGCATAAACCTAGAGACGTAGGCTGGGATAAGATTGGTGGATTACATGAAGTTCGACAGATACTGATGGATACTATCCAGTTACCAGCCAAGGTAATGTCAAACATAAAACATACACACACACACACACACACACACACACACACACAAACACACACACACCCCAAGCACTAATGGCCAGAAGAAATTGTCTTTGTCTTTATTTGTTGGCTTATGCAATTTTCATTTGATTGAACACATATTTACTAAGCTACCCAAGAAATACCAGCACTATTTTGGGATCTTTACCAAATTGTTTTAAGTACTTGATATATTCCTTCCCTGTAAATGTAAATATGTCAATTTCATAATTCAGTTTCACTTGAGTCATTCGGATTTTACTAAAGGACAGCAAACTATCTGCTGTGATTTTAACAAACAGATAGGAAGAGTGTTGGAGGTAGAGAGACCTCTAGGTTCACAGGACTGGTGAATAAAGCCAGCTTTCTAGACTCTGGGCATTAGTCCTAGAAAGGCAAAGTTGGCAAGAAGTATGAACTAGGTAGATGGCAAGATAAAGAGGGAGTGGAGTCTCGGATGTAGAGTGTTGAATCAGAGATCTAATAAATGAGGATCATTGCATGAGATCAGAGACTTGTGCAAAATAGTAAAGAAGTGAGTAAGGACTTTGGATTGTATGTAGCTGTGTGCTGGATAGCTTTAGTGTTAACTTGACACACCTGGGTTGAGGGAGCCTCAATTGGGGAATTTCCTCTATAGGACTGGCCTGTGGCCATGTCTGTGGGACATCGTCTTGATTGTTGAGTGATGGGTGGTGCCACCCCTGGACTGGTGAGCCTGTGTTGCATAGGAATGCAAGCTGAGCAGGGGCCAGGAGAGCAAGCCAGTAAGCAGTGTTCCCCCATGGCCTTTGCTTCAGCTCCTGCCTCCAGGTTCCTACCCTGAGTTCCTACCTTGGGCTCCGTGATGAACTGTGACCCAGGAGATGTAAGATAAAGTAAACTGTTTCCTCCCCAAGTTGGTATTGGTCAGAGTGTTTTGTCACAGCAGTGTAGAAACAAACTAGGACAGAAGTTGGTACCAGGAGTGGGGTATTGCTGTGACAGACCTGACCTTGGTGTTTTAAGGAGGATTGTGGAGGTGTTTGGAACTTTGGGCTGGAAAAGCCATTGAGTGCTTAGAGTTTGTTCCTCTGTGGAGCTAGGAACAGTTATGTGGAAAGAGTTGTGGATGATGGAGGCCTGGCTTGTGAAACTTCAAAGGGAAGCAGAGACTATCAGGGCTGTTTGTGTGATATTTTGAATTGAGAATCTGTGGGTTCTGGTCAACTGGGGCTGAAGAATGCACGGTGATTAAGAAGAGACCAGAACATGAAGTAAAACCTTTGCTTTACTGGGACAATTGATGCTGGTTACCTGGGGCTGCAAAATCAGCTGTAACAAGAGATCAGCATCACTGTGGTGAAATCTTTTGGGAGGTATTTCCTCAGGGTCAGCACACAGAGGGGACCCAACCTCCATCTGTAGCTGGAAGCAGGACTTGGTAACATACAAGAGTCTCCTGCATGCTTCTGGTGTTGAAAGCATGAAGGGGTCACGGAGAGCAGCTGAGGCTTGGTACCCTGAGAGGCCAGGAAAGGCCAAGGTGAAAGTGCAGCTTCAGTTGCAGTGAAGACCCCAGGATTGAAGGGGTCATGGAGAGAATCTGAGGCTTTGCACCCCAGGAGGCAATAAGCGGCATTGATGAAGGTGTAGCCTCAGTTTCACTGGAGACCCCAGCTTTTTGGAGATGCCAGGATTGTGGGACGACCACCAAGGACAGCAGTAGGTGTGGAATGGAGCTGGTCTAGGTCTGCAAGATGAGCTGTGTGTGCTGTGGATGGCAGAGTCAGAGAAGTAGAGCTTCCAGAACCCTTTGGAGTTCAGAAGATCGTGAGTGAATCCCAGATGTCCAGCCTTGAGGTACCCTGCTGGACTTTGGTTTTGCTTAGGTGTGCCCGAATCTTCCCTTTGAAATAAGACAGTACTTATTTTGGATTTTACAGAGGCCCACAGTTAAGAGACTTTTAAAGAGACTATGGACTTTTAAGTGTTTGCATTTTTTAAGGACTGTGGGGGTTTTAAGGTTGTACTGTCTTATATTGTGAGATTAACATCATATCTTGGGGACAGAAATTGGAAAGTTTATGGTTCAATAGTGATGTTTGTGTGTCAAGTTGACAAGGGGTCAGTTATGCTGGATAGCTTTAGTGTCAACTTGACACACCTGGGTTGAGGGAGCCTCATTTGGGGAATTGCCTTCTTTGGATTGGCCTGTGGCCATGTCTCTGGGGCATCTTCTTGATTGTTGAGTGATGTGGGAGGGCCCAGCCCACTGTGGGTGGTGCCATCCCTGGGCAGGTGGACCTGTGTTATATAAGAAAGCAGGCTGAATTGGGGCCAGGGAGAGCAAGCCAGTAAGCAGTGTTCCCCCATGGCCTTTGCTTCAGCTCCTGCCTCCAGGTTCCTACCCTGAGTTCCTACCTTGGGCTCCCTGATGAACTGTTACCCAGGAGATGTAAGATACAATTAACCGTTTCCCCCCTAAGTTGGTACTGGTCAGAGTGTTTTGTTACAGCAGTGGAGAAATAAACTAGGACAGTTGTTGTCAGGGCCCTGGGGTATGTTGAATATAGCAGAGGACCATAGATTAAAGCCTGTGGGAGAGGATGTGGGCACAGGATGACTAGCTAGCAACTTCATGACCCCAAATATTGAGTTTGAGCACCAGGCATTGTTATTCAAATATGTGGAAACTGGGTGCTTAACTGCTGACTTGTAGGCCTCTGAGATTTAAAATGGCAGTAGAAGCAAGGTTGGTATTTTGTTAACAGATGAAACAAAATACATGCCTGGAGGAGGTCTGGATGCTGCTGATAGTAACTGATGTTTGTCTCACATCAGAAAGGGTTTTGCTCTCTAGGCAGTTGGTTATTTAGAAGGTAATTGAAAGATGGTATTTGTTTAGTTGAGAGACTCTTGGAAGATTTTACTCTCTATAACTATTACACATGCTTCTCTGTTATTTCTTTGACTCAGCATTTGAATGTACGCAAAGCTATCATAATTTAACCCTATGGTTTATAGACCATATGACTGGTAGTATACTTGCTGGAAAATTGGGTCTCTCTGTTTTTTTTCTTTTTGTTTTTTTAAGGTAGTAATTTTATAACACTTAGGAAAAAAAGTGGTTTAGTGATATAGCTCAGTGGTAGTATGCTTGCCTTGCATGATCAAGGGCCTTACAGTCTCTAGTACTCCCCTAAAATAAAACAAAATGAAATTTTAAAAAAGTTAGGAAAAGTGGAAAGAAGTTCTGGTGCAGTTACATATGTTCTATATAGAATATATTCCATGGCCTGATCAGAAAATCTATGATTAATTCCTTTATTTCATTTATCATTTCCAGTAGGAATTTTATTTTCTGTTGTGCTGTTATTAATAACAGGAGGTGACCGTTATTACCATCCAAATGCTCTTTCTATGTTTGTCTTCAGCTGCTGTGGGTATTTCTGTTTAGACTTGCTCTCTTTGTCATACTTTGAATATTTTTCAGTACCCAGAATTATTTGCTAACTTGCCCATACGACAGAGAACTGGAATATTGTTATATGGTCCTCCTGGAACAGGAAAAACTTTACTAGCCGGGGTAGTTGCGAGAGAGAGTGGAATGAACTTTATCAGTATCAAGGTAGGTGCTCACTTGCCTTCTTCTTTTGTCCTTTATATAACAGCTGCTTCAAAGTGGATGGTTCATTGGCACACTTCGCATTCACAAAGTTGTGTGACCACCACCTCCCTCTGCTTTCAAAGCTATTTCAAACTGCTTCCTCTTCTATCAGTTCCATAGCAGTCTTTATTCTTACTTCTGTGTCTGTGGATCTGCCTGTTCCTAATATTTCAAATTCAAGAAACCAGACAATATGTGACCTTTTGTGTCTAGCTTCTTTGACATAATGTTTTTGTGCTTTATTCAAGTTGCCACGTGTGCCAATACCTTACTCCTTTTTGCGACTGAATTGTGTTCTGTTGTATACCTATACCATAGTTTGCCTAGCCATTTGTTATCACTGGCAAACATTTGGGTTGTTTCTACCATTAGGCTGTTAATATATGTATTTTAACATTGTGTGTATGTGTGTGTGTGTGTGTGTGTGTGTGTGTATTTATGTGCGTGAGCATGCTCATATGCCATAGTGCATGTGTGGAGGTCAGAGTTGGTTCTGTCCTACAATGTGGGTTCCAGGGATTGAACTCAGGTGGCCAGGTGTGGCAGTAGGTGCCTTTACCCACTGAGCCAACTCATTGGTCTTTACCATTAGGTCTCTACAATATGAATATTCATGTGTTGTTATGAACATTCATGTGTAAATGTTTGCATAGACATAGGTTTTCCTTTCTCTTGCTATGTAATGGAGAGTAGAATTATTATATCTTAGGGTAATTCCTAGCTTCTTAAGAACCCACAACACTTTTTTTTTATAACAGCTATGCAGTTTTACATCCACCACCAATGGTGAATGAGAGTTCCTAGTTCTCTATGTCCTTCCAAATCCAATTATGTGTCTTTGGTTCGTTTGTTTTGTTTTGTTTTGTTTCGTTTTATTTTTTGAGACAGGCTCTCCCTATAGCCCCAGATGACCTGGAACTCACTTTGTAGACCAGGCTGGACTTGATATTACAGAGGTCAACTTGTGTCTGCCTCCCACATGCTGAGATCAAAGGCCTGTGGCTCCAATTACATTTCTTTATTGTGAGCTAATCTCGTATTTGAAAAGCCAGAAGGGGAGAGTGGTGCATTAACTAGTTTAAAGCTCTAAGAAACTGAGTACTGGACTGTCTCTTTCTCTTGAATGCCCTTTTCTTTCAATATATATTTTCATTGAATTTTTGTGCATTTCATACAATACATCTTAATCATATTTAGACCCCCTCCCCTACCTACACCCCCCCACCCATAGCCTGCCCACTGAATTTCATGCATTTTGTCATCTATGGGTTTTGTTGGGGGGGAGGTTTGTTTTGCTTTTATCTTTTTGGAGACAGGTTTTCCTGTAGCCCCAGCTGGCCTGGAACTTCCTGTGTAGACCAGGCTGGCCTTGAACTCACAGAGATCTGCTTGCCTCTGCCTCCTGAGTGCTGGGACTAAAGGTATGTACTACTACACCCAGTTTATTCTGTCATACATGTTAAGGCCAACTGAGTCAAGTTTGTGTACCCAGATTTCTGTCAGTGTGAGTTCATCCACTGGAGCCTGGTCGGCCTATCTAGCATCATGCTCTTGTTTAAGGCAGATCATCATGCACTGAAAGTAGATAAAAACAAATTGCTTAGGAAGAAGGACCCACTGAGATGAGAGGTTGGTTGTGGTTCTTTAACTTGCATTTTAACCTAGCTAGTGCCACACAAGTGTTTTGAAGGTATAAAGAAGTGTGAGAGATTAGAGAGATGGCTCAGCAGTTGAGAGCACTGACTGCTCTTGCAGAGGACCCAGATTCAATTTCCAGTACCCACATGGCAACTAACAACCCTCTGTAATTTTAGTTCTAGGGGAATGCAAAGCCCTCTTCTGACCTTATTGCACTACATAGGTGCACCTACCTTCATGCAGGCAATATACTCATACACATAAATTAAAAAAGAAATAAGTTTTTAAAGAAGTATGATAATTAAGGGGCAGGTTGGCAGATCATTTGGGTCATAATCATCTTATTCTGGGGTGAAGTATTAGTTACAGCTTCAACACTTCAGCATTATTAGTTACCAAAGAATGATTTGATTCTAAAGCAATGGTATCATATTGTTGGTTACTCAAAACTGAATCTGAAATCCAGCTCAGTAATTGGTAACTGGGTTTTACCTACCATCTTTTATCATGATTTTTTTTTTTTTTTTTTGCTGAGTAAACTGACATCCTGGCAGTCAGTGATGGAGAGATTGAACCTTTAATATTCCTGCCTGCCTTTTTCTGGCTTCCAAGACAACCACAATCATGTTCTTTCTATACTTTTACTAGAATGTAGGCATGCTGCTTTCTTTAAAGAATATGTATGTGTGTGTCTGTGTATCTGTGTGCCCATAGAAGGCAGAAGAGGCTGTCAGATTCCTTGGAGTTGGAGTTTCAGGTGGTTGTGAGCTAACCAGTGTGGGTGCTGGGAGCTGAACTTGGTCCTATGGGAGAGCAACAGAACTCTTAACCATTGGACCATCTCTCCAGCCTACATTCTGCTTCTGTACATTATGTTTTTAATTAGTGCTTGTGTATACTGATTGTTCCATTAGGGAGATCTCTGGCACAAAGTGTTATTTTTAAACTGGACATCATTTTAGGACCCACTAAGTTTTAAAAGAGGTCCTAATTTAAGGAAAGACTATATCAATTTTACTTTATCTAGTAAGGTTTGCTTTGAAAGTTTTTTTTTTTTTTTGTCAGTTGACTTTTAGGAAAGGTAGTTTTATTTTTTACTTCAAATAAATTGGTTTCAGTCATTAAAATGCCAACGTAAATTGTGTCTCTGTAAAGTTTGTGGGGGTCTCCAAAGATTTGAGAAAGATGAGTTTGTCCCTTTGAACCATTCAGTATTTCACTAAACAAATGATTATTTGGTACTCATGTGTGAGGCTCTAATGTTTTGGCACAAGCAATCTAGCAGCTAGCAGAACTTTGTTTTTTGGAGTTTACATTCTCGTTGTGGAAAGAAACATTAAACAGACACATGCAATATAAAATATACTGCCAGGTGGTAATAAGTGTAGCAAAAGTGTGGTGATGGGTCCACATGGTGTTGTCTGGGCAGGCTTCTCAAAAAGGGACATTTTGACAAAGATATAAAGGAAATCAAGCCACAAGAATACTTGGAGACAAGGGTTCTAGGCAGAGGAAAACCAGGGGTAGGAACTCTTGGTCTATTACTTTAAATTCATTCTTTCTTTCTTTCTTTCTTTCTTTCTTTCTTTCTTTCTTTCTTTCTTTCTTTCTTTCTATTTTTTATGGGTATAAGTGTATATCCTAAATGTGTGTAAGCGCACCTGTGTCATGCAATGCCTGAGGAAGTCAGAATATGGCATCGGATCCCCTGGAACTGGAGTTATGGTTGATTGTTAGCCACCATGTGGGTGCTGGGAATTGAATCCTGGTCCTCTGTAAGAACAGTCAGTGCTCTTAACTGCTGAGCCATCTCGATAGCCTGTGGTCTATTACTTAATCCAGCATACACTAATTTTAAAAATCTACTTGTGACATCCATTCAATCCTATTGTAAAAGTTCCACAAGTCATTTAGACTAGATCAAAACCCAAAGCTATATTTTGTTTTTAATTAATTTCATCTCAACTCTAATTTTATTTTACCTCTAGGGACCAGAGTTACTGAGCAAATATATTGGAGCAAGTGAACAAGCTGTTCGGGATATTTTTGTCAGGTTTGTTCTTAATGAATATTTTTAAGTAACTGATTCCATTATTTTTTATTAATCATGCTTTTGGCCTTGTGTTCTGAAGAAATAATGTTTGAAACTTGTGGTTTATGTGAATTATTAACAAACCAAAGGACAAGATTCTATTTCATTAAGTACTATTTAAAAATATACCATTTTCAATCTTAACTTTGGAGATAATTAAATTTTTGAGATGATTATTTAAAATAGAAATATTCCTGGAACTAGAATCATAAGTACTTATTAAAGAAAAGATCAGATTAGGCTTTTATTTATTTATTTTTTTTGAGAAAAATCTTCCTATATAGCACAGACTGGTCATGAACTCATGATCTTTCTGCCTCATCCCCTAATTGCTGGGATTATAGGTGTACACCACCCCACAAAAGATTTATTATTATTGTTGTTATTTAAAATTCCATCCTTACCAGGCATGGTGGCTCACGCCTTTAATCCCAGCACTTGGGAGGCAGAGGCAGGTGGATGTTTGTGAGTTCGAGGCCAGCCTGGTCTACATAGTGAGTTCCAGGACAGCTGTGGCTACAAGGAGACCCTGTCTCAAAAAGACAAAAAAGAGAGAATGTGCCTTTAATTCCAGCACTCAGGAAGCAGAGGCAGGCAGATCTCTGTGAGTTCAAGGCCAGCCTGGTCTACATAGTGAGTTCCAGGACAGCTGGTGCTACAGGGAGACCCTGTCTCAAAAAGACTGAAAAAAAAAAAAAAGAGAGAGAGAGAGAGAGAGAATGTACATAGTATGTGCATATAATTTGAAATACATAATTAGGTAAACATTTATCTTCTATGTAATTTAAGGAATAGAGAATTACAAAAAAGGGGATATTATTAAAGTGCATCACTACATATTGACAAAAGGTTAAACTAACAATGATATTATAATTCTAAATATTTTTGTATCTAATAATATAACTTCAAAATGTGTAAGGCAAAAATTGGTAGCACTACAATGAAAAACTGGCAAACCCACTTTTATAGTAGATTTTAGCACAGCTTCCAGTGACTGTTGAATTGAAACAAAGAATGTCCAGAAGTCCAGACAATTGAACAGTCTAGTCAACAAGATTGATCTGATAAGAGCATTTAGAGTACACTCCCAACAGCTGGATAGAATGTGCATTCTTTTTAAACCCACTTAAAGACCTCAATTTAGAAAAAACAAATAACTAGAGTATATTTTTCAGAGGGCTCTTATAAAGCAATGCAAAAATAATAAGCTTTTGAATGGGCCAAAGAAATAAACAGGTATTTCCCAGAAGTAAAGGCAGCTGATAAGCACTTGTGAAAATGGCCACCTGTAATAAGAGTAAAAGGGATGATTCACCTATTGACTAAGGTTTGGGTTGTAATCTCTGATTTATCAGAAGCATGAATCTCTAAGCAAATACTTTTAGTTCTCAAGACTCAATTAAGAAGGGAGTATATCCCAGAGAAGGTAGAGGGAGGAGTGGAAAGTGAATATGATCAAAATACCTGGTATGCATGTATGAAGTTCTCAAAGAATTAATACAAATATTACAATAAAAAAAGTGCTGAGAACAACAAAAAAGTCTGTTTACTAAAACAAGGATAATTGCATGCAACTTGCTTTCTTTTTTAAAAAAAATTTTATATTTATTATTTTTATTTTATGTGTATGCATATATTGCCTGCATGTAGGTAAGTGCACCCGTGTTGTGCAAATGCCCGCAGAGGTCAAAAGAGGCTGTCGGATCCCCTGGGACTGGAGTTACAGACAGTTGTTAGCTGCCATGTAACTTGCTTTCTTTAAGGATTGGTTGTGAAAATTAAAATAAATGTACATACATATACATTATATATTATAGTACATGTTACATGTATTTATATATACATGAAATTAGTTTGCAAACTCTGAAGCCCTGGTCAAATAGAAAATGTTTGTTTTCAGGGTGAGAGAGATGGCTCAGCAGTTAAGAGCACTGTCTGCTCTTCTAGAAGACCTGAGTTTGGTTCCCACCATGCCCATAGCAGCTAACAGTGGTCATTAACTTCACTTCTAGGGGATCTGATGTCCTCTTCTGGCCTCTGTGGGCATTGCACACATGTGGTGCATATAAATACTGGCAAAACAGTCATACACATAAAATAAAAATACATAAAAAATTTAACCCAGAAAACAAACAAAAAAAAAGCCTAAAAAATTGTTTGTTTTCTCCAGAGCACAGGCTGCAAAGCCCTGCATCCTTTTCTTTGATGAGTTTGAATCCATCGCTCCTCGAAGAGGTCATGACAACACAGGAGTTACAGACCGAGTAGTTAACCAGTTGTTGACTCAGTTAGATGGGGTAGAAGGCTTACAAGGTAAAGTACTATGGATACTAAAACATACTGTATATATATATATATTTTTTTTTTTTAGTTATCATCTGTTCACTTAAAAAGTATTCTTCCCTCCTCAGGTGTCTATGTATTGGCTGCTACTAGTCGCCCTGACTTGATTGACCCTGCGCTGCTTAGGCCTGGCCGACTAGATAAATGTGTATACTGTCCTCCTCCTGATCAGGTGATGATTCCATATTTAGAATCCAAAACCCAACGAATGCTAAAGTCTTTGCTTTTGAATTTTACTTCTGTCAGGTAATAGCAATTGTCCTAAGAAGACAGCTTCCTCAGCAAAGCCTTGGGGCCACTACTTGCTTAAAGCATTAAAAGATCCCAGATAGGGTGCCATACCTCTTTAACACAGTCTTGTTCCAGGAAAGTCTGGATTGGCCAATAGGGAAAAGAAATCAAGGAACCCTAAATGTATTACTTGAACACATTCTTTCTATTCAAAGATCACACATCTCATATCCTGTCAAGAAACTGATCTAGGATCAAGTGTGAAGGACCAGTAAGCATGTGATCCAGTTTTACAGAGATGGGATTTTCAACTGTCTTAGTCCTGTGTCAACTTGCTCTCAAGTCTAAAAATTAGTAATAAATGAATGAAAGAAAAGGGAGCCAAATGGCCAAAGCATAGATGTCCTGTGGTTGTTTCTTAAGTTACACTAATTTCCCTTTGTTGGCACACTTGCCCAAATCTAGAAAATAAACACAGTATGAATAAGAAATTATTTACACTGAATAGTTAAAAATGGTAATTTCCATTCATTTTCCCTCCTGTGTCACCTTTTAGGGAAGAATTTCCAAAAAAGATAGTATACTTCTTGTACATTTTTCAAAGTGCTTATAAAGCTTGTTTGATATGTAAAGTGAATTTGTGAAAAAAAATCTTAAGATATACAGTTTAAGATAATGTACTTAATTTTTTTTATGTCTTTAATCAATTAGTTTTTCCTCCTTCAGGTGTCACGACTTGAAATCTTAAATGTTCTCAGCGACCCTCTGCCTCTGGCAGATGATGTAGACCTTCAGCATGTGGCATCGGTAACGGACTCCTTCACTGGAGCGGATCTGAAAGCTCTGCTATATAATGCCCAGTTGGAGGCCTTACACGGAAGGCTGCTGTCCAGTGGACTCCATGTAAGTTATGTGGGGCCTTTGTTCAGTAAGGAAAGAAGCCTAATGTCAAGTTTCAACCTTGAAAAATACAATTTCTCACAACTTTGGTAAACTATGTATAAATTTAAATTTACTTATAGTTAAACATTCTGCAATTGGAATGTGAGTTTTACGGAGAATTTTAGTTATGAAGAATTCGTTGTTTGTTTCTCTAACATTCCTTTAATATTAGCAAAAATATTTGATACTGGAATAAATTGGGATATCACAAATTTGCATAAATAAAAAAATAGTTAAGGTTTTTAGGTTTTTTTCAGCTTTTTTGAGACAGGGTCACCCTGTAGCCCCAGCTGGCCTGGAATTCACTATGTAAACCAGGCTGGCCTTGAACTCACAGAGATCCACCTGCCTCGTCTTCCCAAGTGCTGGGATTAAAGGGGTTCACCACCACACCTGTTTTTAGTTTTTTTAGTTTAACTTTTTTGTATTTAAAAAGGATTAATTAGATTGGCTTGCATGGTACATCCTGGATATACAGTTTAATTTTTTAAAAAATAATTACAATTGTAACTTATTTTAAAGATCAAATTGTGTCAGCCAGCAGCAGTCTCTCTTGAATGACACATGGACTCTTACCATTCACTTCCTTCCTGATGCAAGATCTTCTTTGTTTACCTTGTATTTTCTGTATCCCAGCCCTAGAATGAGCCTTTTTCTCAAAGGATGATATTTTGCTTTAATTATTGCAGTAGATAATTTACTACATTATAGGCTTTACCTGTATTTTCTATGACGTTTTCTATATATTTCTCCCTCATTGTTTTGGAGATTTTTACAGGTCCTAACAGGTTTTTTAAAATTTGTTTTGTTTTGTTGTTATTGTTGTTTTTTGGTTTTTTGAGGCAGAGTCTCCCTGTAGCCCCAGCTGGCCTAGAACTCACTATATAGACCAGGCTGCCCTTGATCTCACAGAAATCCACCTGCCTCTGCTTCCTCTGGGATTAAAAGTGTACGCCACTATGCCCAGCTTTATTATTTCGTTTTAAATTTTGTGTAGGCATTCATGTGTGAGAGTATGTGCACATGAGTGCAGTTGCTCACGGAGGCCAGAGGAGTGTGTTGGATGCTCTGGAACTGGAGATAGAGTTACAAACAGTTGTGGGCCACCTGCGGTGTGTCTCAGAAACCCAAATCAGTTTTTCTGCAAGAGCAGTACATGCTGTTAACCACTGAGCCATCTTTCTAGCCCCATTCCTAAAGTTCTTACATCAGACAAACCAGGTTGTGTGTGTGTGTGTGTGTTTGTGTGTGTGTGTGTGTGTGTTTGTGTGTTTGTGTGGGTGCACATGCAAGTAAGTACATGTGCAGCTGTGCATGTAGAAGCCAGATGTCAACTTTGTGTGTCATTCCTCAAGCACCATCCACCTCTTTTTTAATTTTATTTTTATTATTTTGAAACATGGTCTCTCACTGACCTGGAAGTTGGCAAGTAGGTGAGGCTGTCTGGCCAGGCCCTGGGATCTGCCTGTCTCTCCTTCTGAGTCCTGGGATCATTACAAGCATGTATCATCACACCCAGCTTTTTTATTTGGGTTCTGGGGATCGAATTCAGGTCCTCATGCTTGTAAAGCACTTGCCTAACTGTGCCGTCTCCCTAGCCCCCAAGGCTTACAAGCTATTGAAGTGAGTTTTTGTTTTGCCTTAATTTTTATTATTTGATTGAATGCAGGACCCAACACATGCTAGGCAAACTCTCTTCACTGACCTACATTCCCAGCCCCAAAGGTTTTTCTTTAATCCTCTTTTCATATGATAGAGTGCTTTACTCTCTGTATCCATATATATATGTATTCTATAACATATTTGATATAAATCATTCTGTAGTAGTAAAATATGAGTGTTAAAAGGCAGAAATGGAAAAATAAAACCTAGAGGTCCGAGTCCTAGTTTTATTACAAAATTGTTGGGATAGTTGATAGTTATCTCTATACATCATCTCACCTTTCCTTACTGAAACAGTTAAATTTTTATTGCGTAGGGCTGGGATGTAGCTCAGCTGGGAGAGTGCTTATCTAGCAGCACAAAGTCCTGGATTCATCCCTAGCACCTCCATAAACTAGAAGTAGAGGTGCATGCCTGTAATCCCAAGGATCAGAAGTTGAAGGTCATCCTAGGCTACGTAGCAAGTTTGAGACCAGCCTGGGCTATAAGAGTCCTGTCTCAAAAAAGAATTTTTTTATTGTGTATCTCAGAGCTTGTTGAAAAGTGCAAGCCTCCTTGTGTTGCTCTTGGAATGATGTCTGTGTTGTTAATTATTTCTGAACTGTGGATTATTTAAGTCTTACTACTGACTCTCTCTTTGTGTGTGATTTAGGATGGAGGCTCCAGCTCTGACAGTGACCTAAGTCTTTCATCAATGGTCTTTCTAAACCACAGTAGTGGCTCTGATGACTCAGCTGGGGATGGAGAGTATGGCTTAGATCAGTCCCTTGTTTCTCTAGAGATGTCTGAGATCCTCCCAGATGAATCAAAGTTCAATATGTACCGGCTCTACTTTGGAAGCTCATATGAATCAGAGCTTGGAAATGGAACCTCGTCTGATTTGGTATCTTGTGCATTAATCATTGTGTGGTTCAGCTATATAAAGATGTACATTAAGACATGATTATCTCCTAACCAGCCTCACATAGTTTTTGGTTGGTTGGTTCCCCTGTATAATTACTCTTATTTTTCTTAATTGGTGCTAATTAGTCATTTTTATTCCTTGTGAGAACTTTAAAACAGGGCTGGGAACAAGGGGATTCAAAGACTCCTTGTCATTTCTCAGGTGTGTTTCTGATAGGTTTTTACTGAGCAGATCTATCATACAGCAAATGTAAACTTTATTGTCAGAAAGTAGTTCAAGATAATGGGAAATTTAATGCAATAATATTGAAAATTCCTGATAATAAAAATTGGTGAAATTTTTTTTTTTGGATTGTGGATAAATTTAAAATTTGTTTAAATATAAGATTTAAATAATCCACAATTCAGAAAATTTATTTGTGATTCTTTTTATAGTAAATAGAAAAGTAGTAATAAAAAGTATGAATAAGGAAAATGTTTAGATTAAATGTGGGCAATATTATTGTTTTCCTACTTAATTAAAATAGCATTCAACATATGTCACCCAAAATTAATAGTGACTCACTATTACTTTCTTGATACCCATAGCATTTTTACATGCATAGTTTCCTTTTTGTATGTGTTTTTAAAAATATAAAAATACCCACTTTTATTCCTAAGAAGTAAGATACTGTTTTAATTCTGGAATTCTGTTTACTATTTTTTAACTTCTGTCTTGAAATGGCCCAGAACTTTAGCCTATTTACTACACACTAAGAGTAAAGGGAGCTAGGAAGATGACTCAGTCAGTAAAGCTCTTGCTGCATAAGCCTGAAGACCTGAGTTTGGATCAAGAGCAACCACCTAAAAACTGGGGTGTGGTGGCACATACCTCTAATCTCAATTCAGGGAGGCAGAGACAGGAAGATCACTGGGGTTTGCTGGGCAAGCCAGCCTAGCCAAATCAGAGTTCCAGATTCAGAGAAAGACTCTCTCAAAAAATAAGATGGACAACAATTGAAGCTACTCAACATTGACCTCTGGCCTCCCCACACGTGCACACCCTCCTACAGAGGCACGCATACAATACACACAAAATGCTAAGAGTAAGGCTCTCCAAGAGCCTGTCCTTGGCCATTGGAGTGATGGATTTAAGTAATGAAATGTTAAAATATGTTATGGCAGTTTTCACTCTGGTGGCCCTACACCATAGATACGCCTTGGTTTGTAGAATACCAGCATCTTTTAAACTTGCTTAATTTTAGCAAATAAAAATATACTTATATAAATTAAGGCTATTACTTTAGGGATGTGATCCCTGATAGGCCATCCATGCTTCAGTAGATGGCCTTATGCACATACTACAGCACTAAGTGGACTCAGTAGGTTGAAAAAGAGTTCATGAAGTTGCGAGGGGAAAGTGATGGGGAGTTGAGGGAGGAGCTGGAGGAGAGGGAGTAAGCAGTGAATTTGATCAAAACACTATATACATGCATGAAGTTCTCAACAATAAATTTTAAAAGGGAAAAAAAGTTTTCATTTTTATATTTAATAAACATGGTCCTCTCTCTTTCTCCCCTCGATCTTCTTTCTTCGATCACCCATTACTGTACCCAACATGCAGAGCTCGCAGTGTCTCTCTGCACCAAGCTCCATGACTCAGGATTTGCCTGTGCCTCCAGGGAAAGATGCATTGCTTTCACAACCTCCCGTATTCAGGACCTCTTCCCAAGACGGCTACCAAGACCTTACACAAGAACAGAGAGATCAGCTGAGGGCAGAGATCAGTATTATCAAAGGCAGATACCGGAGCCAAAGTGGAGTATGGCTTTTTCCCTCTCCTTAAGTCTGTTAAAACTTTTTAAAAGTTGTTTTTCCTTTTTTGATATGTATTTATTTGAGTTTTAACTATATTTACAAATATTGAAACACAATGGGGTATTGAAACACAATGACTAAGTCAAATGTACCTTCTTGCTTTGTGATTGTCTTATAAGACAGTATATGCTTACCTGGAAAAAAAAAAAAAAACCTGACATGAAGCCGGGTGTGGTAGCGCACCCCTTTAATCCCAGCACTCGGGAGGCAGAGGCAAGTGGATCTCTGAGTTCAAGGCCAGCCTGGCCTATATAGTGAGTTCAGGTCAGCTGGGACTACAGGGAGACACAGTCTCAAAAAGACAGAAAAAAAAAAACAAAACAAAAAAAACCCAAAAAACAAAACAAAAAAAACTGACATGAAGAAATGACGTTGAGACCGCCACTTTACTCATCATATTCCTAAACTAACATCTTCTTACTTTGTTTTTTTTTTTTTATTTAAGGAAGATGAATCCCTTAACCAGCCAGGACCAGTCAAAACCAGTCTTGCTATTACTCAGTCACATTTAATGACTGCGCTTAGTCACACAAGACCGTCCATTAGTGAAGATGACTGGAAGAATTTTGTTGAGCTGTAAGTGCCAGATTCCAATATGGAAGTAGCCATTATTATAGTGACATCATTATTTACTTAAACTTTTAAGGTTTGTGTTTAAATTTAAAAATAATTCAAGGGGCTGGAGAGATGGCTCAGCGGTTAAGAACACTGGTTGTTCTTACAGAAGACCCGGGTTCAAATCCCAGCACCCACATGGCAGCTAACAACTGTCCATAACTCCAGTTCCAGGGGATCCAACAGCCTCTTCTGTCCTCTTTGGGCATTGCACAACACGGGTGCATTTACCTACATGCAGGCAATACATGCATATACATAAAATAAAAATAACTAAAATTTTTAAAAAATTCAAAAGCTAATTCCAAAATTTATTTATAAGTGTATGTAGTTGGGCTGCAATTATAACTCAGCAATAGAGCACTTTTCTAATATACATGAGGCCCTGTGTTTCATCCCCAGCACTGTCCTCTCCCTCAATAGCACTATGTATTTAATTAGATTTTCATTTAACTGATTCATTTGATTATAGTGAGCTAATTTTAGAAACTGAATAAAAAGGAAAATATATAAAGGTTTAAATGATTAGTTATGTCATTTATAAGATTTATAAAAACTATATGTTTTGCTTTTTAAATTTATATATTTTTTATTTTTTTATTTTTTTATTATTTTTATTTTTTTATGAGTGTATTGCTTGCATGTATGTGAGTGTACCCGTGCTGTGCAATGCTACGGAGGTCAGAAGAGGGCTTCAGATTGCCCTGGAACTAGAGTTAAGGACAGTTTGTAGCTACCATGTGGGTGCTAAGAATCGAACCCGGGTCCTCTGCAAGAGCAGTCAGCGCTCTTAACCGTTGAGCCATTTCTCCAGACCCTTAAATAATTTATATTTTTAAAATCTCAACATTTACATTGAAGTTTTTTCATTTGTAGATTGTTTACTGCACATTAGGATTTATAGACCTCTTGTAATTGTATAGTACCTTCCTATGAGCTCAGAGCCATAGACTGGCAGCCATTCCATGACAGTGATTCAACATAATTCAAGAAATATTTATCCCTGGCCTCTCTCAAGAATAAATACTTCAAATGGAGAGGTGACTTGACTTCTACTCTTATAGAGGACCCAGGTTCGGTTCCCAGTACACACATGAGGGCTCACAACTATCTATAACTCCAGATCAAAGCTTTTCTGGCCTCTCTGGGCACCAGGCATGTACATTGTGCACAAACATACATATAGGCAAAACACTCATATAGTTGATTGATAGATAGATAGATAGATAGATAGATAGATAGATAGATAGATAGATAGATAAGTAAATCTTAAAAAATAAATATTGGGGCTGGAGAGATGGTTTAGTGATTAAGAGTGCTCACCGCTCTTGCAGAAGACCCAGGTTCAGTTCCCAGCACCCACATGGTGGCTAACAACCATCTATAACTCCAGTTCCAGGGGATCCAATGCCCTCTTCTGACCTCCAAGGGCATTGCATGACACATGGTGCACTTACATGTAGGCAATACACTCATATATATAAAATAAAAGTAAATAAGAGTTCTCTACACATGCTGCTAGGTAGTTGATGCCTCTGAGCCATCCATACATCTTAGGCTACTTGGCAGTTTTCAGTGTCAGTTTTTGACATTTAATCTGCTTCCAGGGTTTCACTGCTGTTACAGACGCAGTGTGGTGACAGACGTTCTTACAGCTGAATGTTTGAACACCTGTAATTATTTCACCAGGATAAAGGCAGAATTGTTGCATCACAGAGTATGTACATTTTTTAAGGCTTTCAAAATGTACTGCCAAATTGCTAGAAGGAGTGTTTCAGTGACAGAGCTTAAGAGTGCCAGTTATCTTGCCACAAACCTGAGTGTCGCACACTGGCCAATTTGATTGCAGAACAATTTTGTCTTCTTTAGTAATTTCCTTTCTTTGAATAGAGCCGTAAAGGTTGTAGTTTTCATATTCATTGCTGTTTGTGTTCTTCCCTTTCTAACTTGTTTCCTCATTCCCTTCCTTTTTCTAATAACTGTTTAATTTCTGTTACAATATTTCCTAATGTTATTTCCTTTTTGCTTCATAAAATATAATGCATTGTGAGGACTGGAGAGACGGTTCAGAGTTTAAGAGCACTGACTGCTCTTGCAGAGGACCTGGATTTGGTTCCCTTTACCCTCATGGTGGCTAACAACCGTCAGTAACTCCAGTTCCAGGGGATTCAACGACCTCTTCTAACCTCCACAGGCATGCCACGGGTTCACTTACATACATGCAAGCAATACAATCATACACATAAAATAAAAATAATAAAATATTTTTGAAAGCAGGGGACAGAGAGATGGCTCAGTGGTTAAGAGCACTAGCTGCTCTTGCAGAGGACTCAGGTTCAAGTCCCAGCATCCACATGGTGGCTAACAGCCATCCGTAACTCCAGTTCCAGGAGATCCAACACCCTTTCCTGACTTCCTTGGGCACTGTAGAACACATGTACCATGACACTCATACACATAAAACTAAATCAAGAATTAATTAATTTAAAAAATAATGCATTGTCTTTTGTCATGATTAAATATTATTCATTAAATATCATTTCTCTTTTTTAAGGTATGAAAACTTTCAAAATCCAAAGAAGAGAAAAAATCAAAGTGGAACAGTTTTTCGACCTGGACAGAAAGTAACTTTAGCATAAAATATACTTCTCATTTTTCTAGGGATATTTGTTTGTTTTCTTTCTTTGTTAGGTCTGGTGGTTTGTTCCTAACTTGTCACAGTAAAAATAGTGTCTGTAAACTTCTTTCTAATTTAATAAATTTGGTTAATCTATAAAATTATAGTTTGATAGATGCTGTGATTATGTAATGATCAGGATTATCTGACATTATCACTGCAGGATAAGTGAGGATATTTATAACATTATATATTTTATTTCCTATTAAATCATTAATGAGATGAGATTTGGCCAGTGGTAGAACTCATTTTTTTTTTTTTCTTTTGGAGAAGAGATAGTAGAGGACACAATTAAATAAATGTCTTGGGATACACAGTTGCATATTCAGTGTCTTTTTGGCATTTGGCAAATTGTATGCTTTGCAACTTATTGACTGTTTGGGAAAAAATGTATTATTGTCTTCTGATCTTTTATCACAACATCTGAAGTTTACATACAATTCAAATAAATTTAATAATTCTTCCAACCAAAAGTGCCTGATAAACTCCTGGTCCAGCTCCAATTCCATGATCTCTGAATGTTGCTATTTTTTCTTTTTAAAAATTTTTTTATTTATTGTTTTTATTTTATGTGTATGAGTGTATTGCCTGCATGTGTATAAGTACACCTGTGTCATTCAGTGCCCGAGGAGGTCAGAAGAGGGCGTCGGATCCCCTAGAACTGGAGTTACAGGTGGTTGTTAGCTGTCATGTGGGTGCTGGGAATCGAACCCAAGTCCTGTGCAAGAGCAGTTAGTGCTTTTAACCACAGCCATAGCTCCAGCTCCACTATCTTGTCTTCTTATTGTGGTATAACTTTATCTGTGAACTAACTTGCAAAGTCAGCCACCATCAGTACAAATAATACCTCTAATATCTATGTAGTAATTGGATATGGGAAAGGAAAAAGGAGAAAGTAAATTAAAACACACAAACAAATGTGTAAGCCAGCACTTCGGGTACTCAGGCACATCCCTGTCGAGGCCCAGCTGCTGCTTTTTACTCCTCCATTCCATCTGTTACTTTTTGTTCCTCTGACATCAGCCATCGCCTCAGTGGATTAGAGAACTTTCCTAGGTAGGATGGCCTGGAACCTTCTTTTCCATCTAATCCATTGGTAGACCTTCCTATCTTAGATTGTAGACATCAAATATCCATTAAATGTCCATTAACTATCGTCCGAGTCTGCAAGGAGCCATCCAGGCTTTCTTTCTTCCACTTTGTGTGGCAGCAACTCAAGATTTCTTCAATGTCATCATTCTACACCAGCAAAAGCCAAAATCAGAAAACAGAACAAAGAGTTTGTGACTCAGTATGTATAAAACTGAGAAGTGGTAGTTCCTATGGCTGTTTGGACTCAAAAACGTGTGCCTATTCCTTTTCTTCTCTCATGTCTCTTTGGATGTTGGCCATGGCCTGTGTGCTTTCTTGGTACTTTTCTCTTTCCCACTGTTTCTCTAAGGCCCCTTCCCCTGCCATCTGGTTGCTTGCTGTACCTCCAAGACTAACTCAAAGTTTGGCTCTCTTCCTTTTCTCCATCTCCCTCCTCTGGGCAGCTGCTGAAATTTACAGCTTGTGTGCCCTGCAGTTTTTCTTTTAAACACTAATTAAATTGTCCTCAGGTTTCGTAAAAGGAGTGTGGTCCTCCTTTGAACTTCTGTTCTCTAGTCCTTGTATTAGGGCTGTAGTTGGCTCAAAGCCTATGTACTGTATCCAGCTGGGCGTGGTGGCACACAACTTGAGAGGTAGAGGCAGGCGGATCTCTGTGAGACTAAGGCCAGCCTGGTCCACACAGGAGGCCACCTGAAGCTACATAAGAGACACTGTCTCAAAAAAAAAAAAAAAACTAAACCAAACTAAACTGATTATTTCTGGTAAGATAGCATAGCCTCACAGAGTTGGTTCCCCAAAAGACCAGCTCTTTCATGGTGAAAAATGTTTATATCAAGTCCTGTGAATTCTCTTAGTAAGCATTGTGGTCCTCTTTTTAAAAGAAATTTTTGAGGTTTTTTTTGGGGGGGGGTCGTCTTTTTGAGACAGGGTCTCCCTGTAACCCCAGCTGGCCTGGAACTCACTATGTAGACCAGGCTGGCCTTGAACTCACAGAGATCCACCTACCTCTGCCTCCTGAGTGCTAGGAATAAAGGTGTACTCCACCATGCCCAGCTTGAAGGTTTTATTGTTTCAGACTGAAGAGGCTGTCATATCCCCTGGAACTGGAGTTATGGACAGTTGTTAGCTGCCATGTGGGTGCTGGGATTCGAACCTGGGTTCTGCAAGAACAGTCAGTGTTCTTAACCGCTGAGCCACCTCTCCAGCCCATGGGTTTTTAAATTAATTATTTACTTACTGGATTTTTGAGATATGGTGGCTAACAGCCATTTGTAACTCCAGTTTCAAGGGATCTGACACTCTCTTCTGGCCCCCGTGGGCATTGCATACACATGGTGCACTTATATACATGCAGGTAAAACACTTGAAAACATAAATAAATTTTAAAATCTATTAAAAACAGCACTGAAGGCTTCTAGCTAAGCATTTATCCACATAGGACACAAATAGATTCTTTGGGCCTGCTCTAAGAACTCTAGCCATTACTTTTCCCCTAAACCTCATGGCTATTTGTACTCTCCAAAGTAATTACAATCTGGCAGCCTGGTTATTAGCCACCATCTGAGTCAGCATAGATTCTGATATCAGACATCTATCTCTTCTGAAAAAAACTGAGGAGATATAGATTGCTCAAGAATTCTCCCATAGGAGCACAGAAGGTAACCACAGGTAACAATACAACACTTTTCAGAAAACTAGAAGACAAGATTTTGAAAGTTTAGACCACAAAAAGGTAAATGAAGGAATATGTTTGATCTGATTTAAACAGATACATTTGACCTGATTTAAACATTGTATATATCTATATATATCATATGTATGATATATGTCCTAGTACTCCATTAATGCATATAATTTTCAAATTTTACTTACTACTTTACAGTTTTCAAATCAAAATTTTTTCTGGGTGGGTCTGTGGCACAAGCTTGTTATCTCAGTATTTGGGAGGTTTATGCAAGAGAATCTCTTGTTCAAAGCCAGAAAAAGAAAACCTGCTCCCTTGGAGATTTCCTTTTTCTAGTTTTCAGGGCCTCCCTATAGCAACAACATGTTCACTGGGATAGATGGACTACAGTGGTGTTCAAGGTCTACAAGAATTAATATCATTGCAAACCCAGTGTCTGATGATCTGAAGAATGCCTGGTTACTTCCCATTGCACCTGGGAAATAATCTGGTGAGTGGCCTTGGATCCCTTAGGCAAGCCATGGAGGAAAGAAGATTCATACATAGCAAGTACTTAGGATACTATTGCAGGGCCCCTTCCTTGTGTAACTGACTTGTTCATTCTTGGTCTGAGCAAGGCCTGAGAATTGGGTCAGAGACCATCACTATATTGTAATAAATAGGCCTTCATCTACTAATAGATTTTTAAATTTTTAAGAAATTATTATTCCTGGAGTCCTCTCTCCAGCCAGGTTTTTAAAAATTTTATAAAGGTCTGCACCCATGTATTTTGGTCTTAAAGTCACCACACTTAGCACCAATACTCCCGGTGGGTCAGACTATTGTCATTAATAGCTGGCTCTGCTGTCAGTTGTGACAGTCATATTCATCTGGTCTGTTCTGTCCCATTGCAACCACCTAGCCTCAGCTATCCCATGATCCTCTCATCTCCTTTAATGTGGGTCTCTCCCATCCCTCGTGGGCCGTTGGCCACCGACCCGCAAGGACAAAGGGAGCAGAGGTGACTAACAGGGTCAGGATGGCCAGTGAGCATGACAGAAAAGAACTTCCGGGAGTCAGCTTCAGTGAGACAGCTCAGTTTATTCAGCAGGGGTTGGAGGCAAGATCTATATAGGTGCTCATATAGGTGCTTTATTTACATGTGGCAGGAGGACCCTATCATCTGGTTATGGTGCAATGCCTAATTATATAGAAAAAACCTAGGGGCAGTTTTTTGCAGGTAACTATGCCAAAGGTCATGTTCCAAATAAGGTCAGGCATCTTTGCTTGGAGACACTTCCAAATAAGGTCAGGCAGAGAGCAGGAAGCCCCCGCTGAGAAAGGTCCTCCATTCAGCAGGTTCCTTTCTGCTCACCATGACCTAGAATAATACTACCTTACAGTGGGAATTAGGGTGTTGGTAAATCATCATTTCTCAATTGAAATTGAGGTAGAGGTAATCTCCTTAAAATAAAGGTAGTGGTAAGCAAAATAAAACAAGTACATAGACCAATACTTAAATAAGCCCCAAGGCCAACCACATCATCAAAGTTTGAGTCAGTCTAGTTTCCCAGAAATTATCTCTGTAAAAAGAAACCTGGATGTACATCTTTGCCAGCAAGAGACAGTGAAACCATTAGACTCAATGGCTAGAGACAGTTCACACTACTCTGCCTTAAAAAGGATGTTAATTTACAAATCACTCAAGAGAAGTTTCCAAACTCCGTCCTCCTTTATCCTGTATAAACCCAGTATAATACAGGTTTCTTACCACATAGTTGGAGGGCCCCTCAATTCTCAAACTATTATTTCATAAGTACAGTAAACTTAAGTTTTTTTTCTGTTTCATCTGAGTGTGTGTGTGTGTGTGTGTGTGTGTGTGTGTGTGTGTGTGTGATATGTGTGGTGCTAAGGATTTAACCCAAGGCCTTGAGAATGCTAAGAACATGCTGTACCACTGAACATACTCCCAGCCTTTTTACTTTGCCAGAGAGGAAAGAACAATGAAATCTAATATTTTAACCCTTAACCTTTTTTTAGATTACAGTGGATATAATGTGGTGTTTCTAAGCCATATAACAATTATTCCTGAATTAAGAAACACATTCATTTTAAGGCCAAGGGTAGACCTGAAATGAACTCTGAGAACCTGTTCCTTCATATGTCTCATGGACGTCTCTTGAGCCAGGCCTCACTTATTCTTTTATTGAAACAGTGTCTCCATCATGAATTGGGGAAGTAGAAGCTAGGGCCCACCCTTATCTTAGAATCTTGCCCTAGGCCTAGATTATCATACACACAATTTCAGACACAGTCTCAATTCTTCTCACTGGTTTCATTGAGAAAAACATGCTGCTTCTAGTACTTTCATCATGCATACCCACATTCATTCACTGTCTTGGGTAGAGGTCAAGGATGGATCCTGAGGGATTAGGTCAGGTGCCCAGATCACAAGAGGAGCTCATGGCTCAGTGAACTTGTTTACATTATAACTTTTGGTACAAGGTTAGGTAAAAGTCATTACTCCAGATTATGTCCATATTGTAAAAGTCATTCCTACAATATAACTGATTGAAAATCACAATATTAGAAACATGAATTCTCGCAAACTGGACATTTATACTCTAGTAAATGCTCATAAAGAAGGAAAACAGGAACTGTAAATGTAAAACACTGGACAAGGCCACTATGTGCTGGAGTTGCCCTCAGTTTCTAGGCTGTCTGACTTGGATTTTTTTTTTTAACCTGTTCTAGGACTCAATCTCCCAGGAAGCTTCCATGGTCTAACAAATCAATAACTAAAACCAGAGGGCTATAACAGGCTAAGAAATACCATCCACCACATATTGACAGCAATTTTACTCAGAATTTTAGACAGCGAATTGGAATGAGGCAGTTTCACTTGGACATTTGTTCTGGCCTATTCCTCAGATATTTTTCACAAAATTAAAATGGTAGTCTATTTTTCCATTTTCATGTATACTATGTGCATGTTTTTGTGTGTGTATGGAGGTGTGTACATGTCATGTGGAAGACCTAGGTTGATGTCAGGCATCATCCTCTACTGCTCTTCTACTCTATTTGATTGAGGCATGGTCTCTCTATTAAACCCAGAGCTTGCTGATATGGCTAGTCTCCATCTCTGTCCTCTGAGGCCACTAGGCATGTGGGATTCTTTGACCACAGAACCATCTCCCCAGCCCAATACTAGGATCTAAACCATTGATTTTAGAAATGCTTTAACCACAACTCAGTGCACTACATTTTTTATATCACAGTATGGTCCAGATAAGCCACTGCTAAAACAAAAAATTCACAAAAATAACTGATGCTACATGTGATATTCTCAGATATTCTCTATTCTTCATTTCCTGTTTCTACTTCTGCCTCATACAAGTAATGCTGATTTTGATCCACTTGTGCACTGAGGCCTGCAAATTGAAAAACATTTATGTAAAGCTGGGTGTGTGGTGCATACCTATAATCCCAGCACTTGGGAGGCTAAGGCAGGAAGATCACTCTAAGAGAGGTCAGCCAGGACTACATAGTGGGACCCTGTCTCAAAAACTGTAAAAGAGGAAAACACAAATTTAAAGAACAAAGAGCTAGAATATAGAATCTCTCTTCTCTCTCTCTCTCTCTCTCTCTCTCTCTCTCTCCCTCTCCTCTCTCTCAATACATATTACAAAATAAAACCACTTTAAACCTACTACTTTCTCAGCAAGCTTCAACTGATCTAGCAGAAGTATGCCATTGTAATATAAAAGTGTTAGAAATTTCTGTAATTGGCAGGATCTTAAATTAGTGAATATAGATACCTTGGGTGTCATTCCTCCACTTTCCTTTTTGAGACAAGGTTTCTCACCCAGACCTGTGGTTAGCAGATTAAGCTAGGCTGGCTGGCCAGCAAGCCCCAGAGATCCACCTTTCTCTGCCTCCCCAGAGACTACAAGCATGGATCATCACTTTTGGCTTTTTATGTGGGTGCTGGAGATCAAACTTTGCAGACTCCTCTATCTCCCCAGTCCCTAGTAGTCCTTAACTGAGTTGACTTCTCTATTCCAAGGAAACTGACAAACCATACAAGTGTAGTCAGATGACAGCTTCTGATGTCTGATGAGTTACTGATGAGCAGAACATGAAGTTTTATTATGAGTATGGGGAAATCTTCACTATGTTTCTAGGTCATAAAGGCAGGGTCTCTGTTGATTGGATGTAGATCATATCTGGACTCTGGCCTCTGATCACAGCTTGACCACCACTAACAGCTCAGTTCAGTGGTGACTGGCCATATCAGAGACCTTAGGAGAGGGGATGAGCCCAGACCAGCAGACATGGGGTTGTGATAGTGACTTTGGGGGCCAGTCTGGACAACATAAGACCTTGTCTGAAAACCAACCAACCAACCAACCAACCAACCCACCAACCAGTGCCTGAAAAAACAAACAAACAAACAAAACATGCCCAGGAAAGCCACTAGAATGCCTCTCCCTTTTCTGGTCCCTAAAACTTCATTCTGGACATGTGTCATACATGTGTGTATACACAAGACATACACACTCACTAAATCTTTCCACTGTGCATATGATTCTATCTGCTTATAGCTGTAATGGAATTGTGATTTAAGCTTTTTTTTTTTAAACTTTTAAAAATATATTGTGCATACATGAAGTGTTGGGGCTGTGTATGTGTGCCATAATGCAACTGTGGGGATCAGAGGACAACTTTGTGGAGTCTGTTTTCTCCCTCCACCTTTATGTGGGTTCTGGGGCTAAAACTCAGGTTGCCAGGCTTGTATGGTAAGCATCTTCAACTGCTAAGCCATCTTGCTGGCCCTTTATTCTTTTGAGTTGTTGAGACATTCAGTGTTTTGCTATGTAGCTCAGGTAGGCCTTGAACTCATGATCCTCCTCCCTTGGCCTTGTGAGTGCTAGGATTACAGGTCTATGTCATCACATTCAGCTTAAAGTAGACAGGCTTTCTTGTTGGCCTGGAACTTGCCTAGTAGGCTAGGCTGACTGGCTGACTGGCCACCTCCCCAGTATATTACAAATGCACCATGCCCAGCTTTGTTACATGGGTTCTGGGAAACCTCATGTTTGTATCACAAGCACATTACCAACTGAGTTGCCACCCAGTCCTGATTCAAACTTCTTGATGGAACACTTAAGTTCTAGAAAATATCACAGCCAAGAACCAGGATGGGTTGGGATCATTTTCTCAAGTAACTCATCTTAATATCTGTGTGAGTTATTTAAAGCTAATCTTTTTCAATCTTACTCAAATAATCTAATATTAATCCAGAATATAACAATGTGAAATTCTACTTTTGTTCACTATTCACAATAGAATTTGAAGTTTTAAACAAGTTGGCATGAACTAGCATTAACTGA